AAAAAAAAAGATAATCTTAACAGAAGCGAGATCAGCAAATTCTTTGATAAGCTTTACTGTGCAACCAAGATTCTTCTGCTACAGACAATTAGATGCTGCTCCCAGAGTTTAGAAGCTTTAAATTGCTTTTTTCCTTCCAATATAGCAGCATTTGTGCAGTCAGTTAGCATAACCCATTGTACATCTTTTATTTATACCAAATATTTGCAGATAATCTTAACAGAAGCGAGATCAGCAAATTCTTTGATAAGCTTTACTGTGCAACCAAGATTCTTCTGCTACAGACAATTAGATGCTGCTCCCAGAGTTTAGAAGCTTTAAATTGCTTTTTTCCTTCCAATATAGCAGCATTTGTGCAGTCAGTTAGCATAACCCATTGTACATCTTTTATTTATACCAAATATTTGCTCCGAGTAAAACTGAAAGAGCATAATCAGAGCATCCAAAGACCATTAACCATGCCATTTTAATGTCCAAAAGAAATTGAGAAGAATTTACCACAAGAATTAAAATGAATTATAACAACTAGTAATTCTGACAGCCAGATGGCTCAAGGCTGGTCCCTATCACTTTACAGAAAGGGTACTCTGATCTGTTCTGTTTTCTACAATCCTAATTCAATTAAGTTCCAGCACTGGCCAAGGGCAGTGCCAGGAATGAAGGGCAAAGACTGCTCCCTGACTCATGAGCATCTCACAGGGGCTGGGGGAGAAGGCCAGTAGCTAAGGGCTACTTGTTTGCACTTTACATGCTGAACCATTCTGGGACTAAGAAGGCTGCATTCTTCAAGTCAGAGTCTGTGCCATCAGCAAAGTCCTGGCAGCTAGCACCCCTACCTCCAAGCAGAAGATGAGGTCACTAAGCACTACTTTATAAAGTTAGTTTGTCAGAAGTCACTACAGTTTATAGCAACTGTTTACTTCTTTGCTAATCATCATAAATATTTAAAAACTGTGCATTATAAAATTTAACTCCAACTAAAGCTCTTGCTATCTTGCAAGGTAGTACCCAGTTAAAAGCCTGCTCAATAGGCACAGATGCAGTTTCACCATGCAGCACATTTACTTTTAGACAAAAGCAAGAATAGCTTTGTTCTGCCAGAGAAGCTGTTTTCTCTGAAACAAAGGGCACTCAACACTATTTACAACAGCAAAAACAAGATATTCAAACAATTAAAACCAAATGGATCAATACATGCTAGAAGAATTAAGACAGTTATGTCAGTAAATTTGTACATTTCCTACAACACTTGTTACAAACATATCAAAGAAAGAGTATTATGATATGCTCTAGTCTGAAACTCACTTCTGTGACCAATTATAACATCTGACCACTGAAGTTTCATCAGCAGGTATTTTGTGACTTGTGAATTCCCAGCTTTTGAAGGGAGTCAATATCTTGCAGATATGCTGAAAATCAGATTGTCGAGTCTAAAGATACATCTTTTAGAACTTCTATAGGGAGAACAAACTCTTCATTATGTATTTGTTGAATTACTACCATCATATGATGAGCCTTTTTTAATGCAAGCAGCTTTTCCACATTAAAGACTAGGTCAGGATTCTATTTTTTTTAAACCCTAATGTTTCGAAACTGCATATAAGGTCTATTTCTTTGCTGTCAGATTACTATTTTGTTTTTAAACACATTTACCTTTCTACAATACTAAGCCTTTTTCCTCAAATTCTATCTACTAGTGAGTTATGCCATCTAGAATAGTCAAGAATAGCTCTTCTTCCTAGTGATGGAAGAGTCAGAATAGAAACATCAGCGGTTTATGAATTAGGCCCACGCTTAGTCAGTATTTGCTGGACCTGCTTACTCCTTCCTGTGGTGAAGAGGAAAAAGCATGCTAAGATACCAAGCAGTTACAGCTTTCAGACTGAAAACAGTGAACAACAATCACCCACTATTACCTCTACAGATCAGATGTCCAAGAACTGCACACTACCAACAGAAGTACCAGAATCCCCATCAAATCATGGCTGGAGGTAAAGCAAGTGTCAGTATTTTTCTTCACAGTCCTGTTACTAGCTCCTAGGTATCAGCAGCATCCCATGTATGACTTGGGCTACACAGGGTATCTACTAGTCAAATCAGTAGCATCGTTTAAACATGCTTTGGACTGAATTAGTAGCCTGTGTTTGTTTTTCCAACCCAATAGCAATAGCTCTAAATAATGCATTAACCACTATGGAGGGATAAGTAATAAAGATTCAAATCCTCTCAGAAATACATAATTTCAGCCACATTACTGGTACTGATAACAATGTAATTATATATTCATGAGATGTCCCCAGGTTTACTGCCTTCCAGAAATCCTGCACAAAATAGACATTTGCTGCAATTTCCAGACTTTGCTGCAAAAGGTTGTTTTCAGTTATACTAAACTGTGCAGTGAAACTTCTCTGAATGTATCTGTAATACTTCCAAAGAAGATCCATCCAGGATGCCGATTTTGAGTCTTCAGTAATGATCAAAAGAAAGACAAAGTAATCAGCTGGTTTGTCTCACACACTGTCTTTGGAGATGGAGCCAATCCCAGCAATAACGTTTTAGAAGCAACCACCTAAAACATCAAAGCTAAATCTCTGCAAATTCATCTTAGACTTACACACTGCATAAAGCAACTTTCACAAAGCAAGAAGTTTTAGTTTTCACTGAACACAGCAGCAGCAAAAATGCTTCTCATGAATACAGCCAGTCTTAGAAAAAAGCAACAAAAACAACTCACTGAAGCCAAGCCAGGAACACTTTTATCCAAGTTAAAGAACTCATTGAAGTCAAACTCTCCTGGAGCTGGTTCTTGTAAAACAGCTTCCCTAGGAACTTCTTGATCTGCTGGAGTTTCATTGGCAAGGACAGTTTGAACTTCATCCTCTTCTGCCACTCCACCATTGCATTCTATCCCTTAAAAAAGAAAATAAAGTGATTGCTGAGGCACTGAACTTGACCATTTCCTGTAGGAACACCACCTAAAAGTCAATGCCTTGGAATTACAAGCATAGGACCAATCTAGCCACCTATGTGGTATTCCACCAGTTACAGTGTTGGCTGCAGTCTGCCACAACAGAAACCAGGACCCAGTGAACTCTAGCACAGAGCTTCTACTCTCTAAAATTAAGACTACCTCAAGAAAAATAAGAATTACCCTTGAATCACATGTAAACAACTGCATCCTGATCAACCCAGGAAGTACACAGAACAGCTCAGATGTTATGTCACACCAAGCAGATAGAGCTGGTACAGTACAACAACAGCTGCTGCTGTTTTTCCACCAAGAATCCTTTGGCAGCTCCTGCCTTCTTCCTAGGGGCCCCAGGGAGCAGCCACCCTGAAAGCTCCTACTTGTCATGAGTTTTATTAATATTGTCAAGATATGACAAATATTGCTTCTACTCCTCTAGCAGGAGCAAAGAATGTGTCATATTAAAGACTTACCAAGCTTGCAGAGGTGCTGCAAAAAAGCTGTGACACGACTACAAACCTGCATGTTTGAAACTGCACTACATTTTAGTTAAGTGAATACACAAGTAAACCCGAACTCTTCAGGTTTATGTTGCCCACTGTGGAATTTCTAGCATTAAGTAATCTTCTCTTGCCTCAGAGGAGTTTGTACTACAGCTTTTGCAGTAGTAACAGTAGACTTGAAATTCAGAGACTGCATACAAATTGAGATAGTCTTCAAATTCAGCTTAAAGCTGTATTACAGGCAGCTGTATGTCCAGATCAGTGCCCCTAATTCTAGTATTACAAGAAGAATAGATATTTCAAGTACCTCAGAACATTAGTTTAACTTAAACTAAGCCTTTAGCAACCAGCAGGATACAGGAATGGACAAGACCCTTTTCATAGACTACAAATCCCTCATATCATTCAACATCCATACAATTTATTTTTTTTCAGCTTCAGTCCTGCCTTTCTTTTGGAAAAATAGTATTTAATAACTTAAAGGTATTTGCAGACTGAAAAATGAGCCACAGGTGTTGTGCCTTGTGCTTCAGGATGACCAAAAGCTATGCAAGTTTAAAGACTGATAAACTGCATTTTTCTTTATACTTGCCTGGATCTATAGCAAGCACCTCTATATCCAGCAAGATGCCATACTAGCAGACAAGCAATGTTTTTGTCAAATTTGCTGTTACCTTCTTTTAGTGAGGCTGTACGTCGCCTTGTACGTTTTCTCCCTTTGTGATCTTCCTCCAGAATTTTATCGTCAAAGCCTGTGAGCTCAATGGTTTCAGACTGACTTGTAGGACCAGCAGAGAACCACTCAGGTTCCTCTTCAGTGTAAGAGTCATTCCTTCTTCGCTCCCCAAAGATACGTTTGCTGTCACCAAATTCTCTCTGAAGTGGAATATTGAAAAGATTAACCATTAAATACTGTTTCATAAGATTCCTCCCTGACTTCCACAGCAAATGACAGTCTTTTCATACTAGTTCTGGGTGGTTTTTTGTTTCTTTGGTTTTTTTTAAGGTTTAAATGTACACTCAGCATGCTCAGTAAGGTTTTACATTTTAAAAACTTCACAGCTGAATTTGTTTTATTACACTGTGGGCTATTGATCTGCAAGTGCTTGTATAAATGAGAGGTGCACCAGTGGTTCTTCCTTTCTTTTTTATTTTAAAATGCTTGGAAGCATGGAAAGCTTCCATCTGCTGAGTTAAAAGACAATTCTTGCTGACAGCTGCTAAGTCAAGAACTATGAACAAACTATCAGACTTCTGAATATCTTGCTATTAAGTCTACCACAGGGGAGGTTTGTAAAATACACAGTATTAGATACATCCCAGTGGAGCTGTCAGAAGGATTGAAAACTAGGTTTTTGAAGCACCGAGTGCTCACCCTTCAAACCATAAAGGTGTTTCTAAGGAAAAAAACCCCAAACAACAGCCTAGTTGCATGGAACACCCAACTGCTGCATGCAGTTAACCTGCCCCTGTCACTTTGCACTAGTGCAAAGTGTCCAAAAACTGATTTAATATCAGGAAAAGAAAGAACAAACCCTGAAGCGTTTATCTTTGTAGTCCCTGTCACGATCTCTGTCTCTTGCATCTCTAGAATCACGTAAGTCTTTTTCACCACCCCGGTGGTCTTTATCAAAGTTACGAGAAGAGATAATTCTTCCACTGCCAATCCTACGGCCACCAATAACACGGACACCATCATTCTCCTTTTCCAATGGGCTCCCAGCTCGACGTGAGCTAACAGCTGCAGTTACATGACAGCCACCTCCAAAGCTTCGCCTTTGTGGACTTAAGACTACATCCAAGTCATCTTCTTTCACTCGTTCTCTTGGATCTACAAGTCAAAGATCACACAAAAAGCATCTAATGTATTAGTAAATACAAGTTGGTTATCTCTATAATAGCATTCTGTTCCATAGCCTTGCTGCTACCCCAGAGCTTTTAGAAGGAAAACTCATGTTTTATTTTTGTGAAGCTAATCTAGCACAACACAGGAAGTGCAGAGGCAAAAATATAAATTTACGGCTGGATACTGAGGAATCACTGCTGTCTCCTAGGAAGTACCTGTTTTCCCACTATAGACTTAAGTACTCAGTCTTGACTTGCAGGGAAGTTGCCCCCTGTCCTTGCATTATTACATATGTATTTACTATTACATTGCAAGAATAGTAGGATGTAAGAACTGACTGCTGCTTATGTTTGCTCTTTGATGAGTTACCAGAATACCAGGAAGGAGAGTATACTTGGAGCAACCAAGATTTCCTTGATACTTATTTCATGCAGTCAAACAATTTTCAGAGAGACATTCTTTAGTCTCATTTGCATCACCCCAAGGAAAGGTTTTGCCAACAGCCTATGTTCAGTTTTGAGTCTTGTGTTCCAAGAGTGCACTTACCTACTATCCTACGCATAAGAGAAGTCCGCTCTGAATCCAAATCTTTTTTAAAGCTTTCCACTGGTGAAGTTCTTCCTGAAGTTGGATATAAAGATGCATGCCACTTCTCTGGATCCCAGACACCATCACTATGAAAATAAAATTGCAGGACTGTTTACTACTTTTTTTCTAATAAATAATTCATAGCACTGCTGCGGAAAACCTGGAATTCCCTGACTAGCAATCTGTACAAGCGAAACACCTTTCATACAGAACTTCTAAATCTTTGTCTTCCTATACTTTATTACCTTACATGTGGTGTTCTGGATCCCTTCTGTAACAGGAAGTACAATACCCAGCATCAGATTATAAAAGGGACAACATATGGACATGCTGCACTAGTTACTACTGAATTTTGCCTGTTACACTGAAAAATAGCTCAAGTCGCAAAAATGCTGCTGTTCTTCAGCATTCTGAAAATTTTACCTCAACCTCATACTTACTTGCACAATAAATTAACCTGAACAGTAAAGATACTGCAGTTTAGCAAGCTTGCAAACACAAGCCAAGAACACACTAACCTTCATTTTCAAATGAGGTACACTGTCAGCACAGCAGAGTAATCTATCAAGCAAGTCAGCTTGTTGCAACACGACCTAGTCAGGCTGTGCTATACAGCCATCTATAGTCTTGGTAGTTTTTCCTGCAAGTCTGCAAGACTTGTGTTGTGCGAAGTTACTTTCTGCTGGATCTCATCTTATAATCTTCATTCAAAACAAAAAATTCCTAGCTAGAGCACTAAGCCTTTCCTAGTAGATGAGTACTTCTGAAAACACTGTCATACACTAAACTCTGGAGCACGTATATCTTGCATCAACATAAGTGCACTGCTTAGCTAAGAATTTTTTGCAATTTAAACTTCCATTCTGAAGGAAATGTATATAGTTTTTGTATAATCAAGAAAATACCTGTCGTATTTTTCAGAAAGACACGAAGGTCTTTGCTTAGAGTAGGGACGCTCTTTAATATCCAGCAGTTCCTCCTAGAAAAAGGAAGAAGTTAGTTCCAACTCTCACCCAGCCAAGATTCAATTGACCCAAAATATCTATTCCAGACTGTTTAACTCAGGTTTCCCAATACATCGTTCCATTTCCTGTGAAATATTGCAGTGAGAATTCAGCATTAGACAGCAAGTTTATTTTTCAGTTCTACTTGTGACCACTGAGCAAACACTCATCTGAAGCACTAAGCCTTACTAGGTCAGGTTCAATCCTCATTAACACCTGAAAGGCTGTTCACATCATACATGTTTACCTGTTCATTTCCCTGGACAATTCAACTTCTAAGCAAGACAGACATCATTTATACTGGAGCTAGTTAAGTTTCAAGACTGAATCAAAATTGTTATGTTCAATGCTACGTAAGATTCAGCAGGTAAAAAAAAGCATTACCACAATACCAGTTACTAAGGTAGATCTGGAAATTCCAGACAAGCTTGCCATTTCTGACCACCACCAATTCCAAGATATCTAGATGTATGTTATACAATTATCCACTCTACCCAACAGCAAATCAATGCTGAATGATTACTTCAATCTTCCCACTTCTACCAGCTTTCAAATGCAGTCCTTTAGTTTACTGCTGCACACCCCTGGGCAGTCAGTCATTCGAGGCAGACCAGTCTCAACCTACAGTCTCACTGCAGCTTGCTACATTTAAAAAGTATTATTACCAGTGTGATCATCAGTGCTTTGAATCACTATTAACTTGGCTGCAGCCAAGATGCACATTTCTAATTAAACTTACCCACTCTCCCTAGATTACGTTTCTTCAGTCTGCCTCACTCCCAGCTGTACTGAATTGATCCAGAACTGTGCAGAAATCAGTGGGCAACTGGAAGGATAACGAGATCCTAATAGCAGGCACCATGCATGGGCCAAACTGAAGAAGGAAATCTCTTTACCTTTTTCCCCCAAGAATACAATGTCCTCTAGAGCTTTTACATCATTATCCCCATGTGATTAAAATAAGTTCATTAGCTATGTGAGCTTAATAATTGAAAGGTTTCAGATGGCAGCTTGGTAGCTGGACAAAACCTTACTACACACACACATATATATCCAAACATCACCCTGTACTAGTCCTCAGCAAAAAGAGTTCCATTAAAGGGAGGGAGACTGGCCTCTCTGCCCAAAGTTTCCCAAAATAAACCTTGATCTATGAAGATCAGCGCTGTGATACTATCGGAGCCTGATGCAGATATCACAAGTATTAACAGTACTGTCCCAGACTTAAAACTATTTTGTTGGCCACGAGAGGGAGTTCAGAGACTCTCAATCAGATCCTATTGCAATTCTTCCACTGAAGTCAGGAAAATTTGAATTGTTGCTTGGCTTTCACTCGTTAGCTGTCCGCCCTTGGAGCAACAGCTTCCAACAAAGTAGAACAGACACAGCTTGGACTATATAACACTCTCATAATAGAGATTAACACTGGCACTTCCAGAGTGTGCTTTTGGGTTTTTTGTTGAATTCACACACTAGTACTTTTAAGTGGGAGGGACAAAAAGTGTGTTTAGCTGTTAATAAACAGTTTTGTTAAAACAGTTTAGAAGGATTCATAGTATGAGCCAATTGTTTTCCTACTGGTAGTAAATAAATATAAACCATTAAAGGGAAACAGTCTCCTCTCCAAATCAGCAGCACATGTCCTGAAACATCCATCCCCTAATTACAAGGAAATTGGATCATGTGAAAATGGCTTACAACATTGATTACATGAGCTCCTCAAACCAGCTATATTCAAGATGCTACTTTAAAAAAAAACCAAACAAACATATGATGCAGGATATTACAACATAGATTGATTTCTGCCGTTTCTTGACTTTAGACTCCTTGGACACCAACAGATATACAAGACTAGATGCCTTCTAGCACTAGTTCAGCAAGGTTATCCTGATCAGAAACTGTAGGTACTAAATTAACTGAAGCTACAAATGTATCAGTTTCAGTGTACAGCTACCACCAGCACAAGCTGAATACTGCCCAAAAAAGCAAGCAGAATTTGAAGCTCTTGAGAGTTGGGCAAGACTGAGCAAGTGTAGGCACCACTTTTCCAACAGCAAAAGTTTAAAGACAGATCCCCCCCTTCACTTTAGAGTTAACTTAATAACAAGGTCTGAAAAATAGTATACTTTGCATCTTACAAGGTTAAGTGCACATCTTTGCTAAGAGGGCAGAACTGGAAAGCCATACTATTCCCATGTAAGTTTTGCCAATTCTGAAGTACTTGGTTTATTGTTGATGTCTAGTTAAAATAAGCTACCCCTACTATCTCAACAGAACAGAGCCACAATAATTTTTTTCTTTTAAAAAAACAACCTGCTAGGAAGCTAACAGCTCAGAATTCCTCAAGATAACACAGTCAGCAAGAGTACACTGTCTCACTCTGTTCCACACTTCAGGCCATTTGTTGCGAAGTATCTTAATAAATTTCCACAAAGCGCCGACCACCTGTTCCCACAGCTTTTGGCAATGGGAAAATCAGCCACCATTAGAGACTTTTTCTAAAGGCATATTTCAGCAGTGGTACCAAAACCCCAAACAAGGTTTGAACCTTAAACCCCACAACATATCAAACTCACTTAGTACTGAAAGAATCTTTATTTGCAAGTTACTGATTGTTCCTCCAGTCACACATATATTTAGGTATCACAGCTAAACAAAAGCACCTGTGTTAGTTAAAGTTTTAACACTAAGCAATGGTTGGATTCATAAGTGCCTAGGCTTCCAGCAGCCAAATATGAGCAACTTTAAGTTTACAAAAGGCATTTTAGTAAACACTTTAAAGCACCTAGTAAGATCAGGTGTGCTACATGTTCCAATGAAGTGGACTCTACTATAAGGAAACATTTTGGTCAACTTCTTAAAGGAACATTGCTGAAAGCAGACCTAGAACTATGGGGTGCAAGTGCTTGAGAAAGCTGGTAGAACAACATACTTCAGTCTCTACCATAATCTCTCCAAGCACATGCTGTGAGGTGCTCAGATATTAAAATAAGGGACTGGTAATCAAACATGTATCGAGGACAGGACTGCACAGCTATATCACATTTAAGAAGTTGCTCATTTTATAGTGTCTTGCAAATCCTAATCCAGGCAAAGGCTCTTCAGCCTTCACCCTACTGCTTCCCCCTCACAGAAGCCTCCACCTCCCACTCTGCTCCTGTGACCAACAGCTCCACGCGCAACTTCCAGAGGAACGGGGAGAGAGCAAACCTTCGTGTAGCGATGTGGGTATTTTGTTGTAATTCTGTTCAGCTCCAGGAAAGCATCACCATTTTCAGTTTCTGTTATGCCTCCTCTTTTATCCATGGTTGCTTCAAAGCCTTTGACCACAGACCTAATTAAAACGAAACCAAGCCGTCAGATTTGGAGACATAAATTTCTAGCGGGTGTATTTTCCTCCCAGCCCAGGACTATTTAGCGCTCAGATACAGCGGATAAGAACCGCATTCCCTCACAGCGCCTTTCTTCTTCTCGTAGCTTCCCCCCCCTCCAGCCAAGCAGCTCTGGCCGAGATCTTTAACCCGCTCCCGACCTGCCCCACGCCCCAGCCCAGCCC